CGGTCAGATACACTTCCAAAGACGACGCGAAGCCGTCGAACTCGGCTAATTTCTGCTTGGTCACAGCGATCTGTCGCCGTAACGAGTTGAGTTCGTTCGTGGCCGCCGCGTAATGTTGTTCAAGCGGCGAGGGTACCCGACGCGACGTCATGGCCGATTGCTGTTGTGCGTTCAGCAGCGCATCGTATCGAGCCTCCAGCTGCGTCACCTGCTGCTGCATGGCCTGCACGTCATTCTGCGGTCAAAGTGAACGTCAGTTTCATCCTCCAGTACGACCGGCACCGCACAAGCCATCGACTTACTTTACGACGCTCACGATACCGACGCTTGAGGTCACGCTGCTTCCGACGGCGTTCCTCGTCTCCCACGTACACACGTGGCTTGGCAAACATGGTGTCGTTGGGTACAGATTTTTAAAAAGCGGGTGGAGAAAGTCACGACGAATGGCCGTGTTCAACCGGTGTTGAAGCGCCAACAAGTCTCGTTCGGCGTAGATGGAAGAGGACTAGCAGAAGTTACACAAGCCAATGCCAATGAATATCCAGTGTACAGACGACGTCGACAGCAAGAAGGTGTTCTAAAGTTCAAAGGCAGAGAATACGACAATGCTACGATCAACCAGTGGGTTGTACCGTACAACCCGTACTTATCCCAGAAGTACAACTGCCACATCAATGTCGAAGTGTGCACGGATATTACTGCGGTTAAATACCTGTACAAGTATGTGTACAAAATACCCGACATGGCTATACTCACTGTGGAAGAAGTCCGAGGAGGGCAGCAGAGTGCGCGTCGAGAACCAAATGAGATTCTACGTTTCTTGAGCGCCCGGTACATTTCTCCGGTGGAAGCTTGCATGCGCCTGCTCAATTTCACAATTCAGGGGAAAACCCATGCGGTGACACAGCTGACGGTTCATCTCGAGTCAGGCCAGACAATTTGCTTTCGCGAGACGGAAAACCCGGAGGCGGTTTTGGAACGTGGTAGTCACACGATGCTGACCAGATTCTTTGAGTTGTGTGCGAGTGAATCATATTGCCAGGACGATGTTGTATCAGGATATCCCCAAAGAGTTCTGCTGGAAAGCGCCGGAGAAAGGGCAACCGAAAAGGTGGGTTCGCCGGAAACAGTATCAAGCTGCTGTTGGTCGCATGATTCACGTGTCTCCTCGAGATATGGAGCGGTTCTACCTTCGGCTACTGCTCTGTCAGCGTAGAGGTCCAACGTCGTTTGAAGACTTGAGAACAGTTAACGGAATTGTCTGCCCAACATTCCAAATTGCGGCGCGGGAGGCTGGCTACTTGGAGAATGACAACGAGTGGGTTTCGTGTTTGACGGAAGCGACTGAGTTCCAAATGCCGTATCAACTACGCCAGCTCTTCGTCACCATTCTGGTGTATTCAGCTCCAGCAAATGTTGGTGTTCTATGGTATCGGTTTTTCGCGGATCTTTCCCAAGACTTCGCACGCAAACATCAGGCTTTGATGGACCCCTTCAAGTCGGCGTTGGTCGAATTTGAAACGCTGATGAGCATTCAAGAACTGCTTCAATCGAGTGGGTATGCGGTAGCTGACTTCGACGAGCTTCCTCAGTTGGGGTCGTTCCCAACATTGATTCGTGAAGCGCTTCGCCAAAACGGATTACTTCGACGTGAGCTCACTGGATACGATGCGTCAGCTTTGGAGGCGATTGTAAACACAGAAGATCAGCTAAACGAAAGTCAGCGGGTGTTTACGACCAGATTATTGAAGCGGTTGAATGCCCGGAGGAAGGCAAGAAACTTTTTTTTGTTGATGGCCCGGGTGGTACTGGAAAATCTACACTGCTTCGAAACATACTGGCCAAAGTCAGACTCTCGGGGAAAATCGCCATCGCTGTGGCGTCTAGCGGTATTGCCTCGCTCTTGCTCATGGGTGGTAGGACAGCTCATTCTACATTCAAGATCCCTTTGAAATTGAGCGAGAGCTCGACGTGCGGTATCAGGAAGAACTCCCACATTCAGGAGTTGATTAAGCATGCAAGTTTGATTATTTGGGACGAAGCACCTATGGCCCATCGCCACGCATTCGAGGCAGTAGACCGAACACTGCGGGACATACTTGACAACGACACCGAACCTTTTGGGGGGAAAGTGTTTGTACTTTCGGGAGATTTCCGCCAGATTCTCCCGGTCGTTAAGAATGGAACACCCGTCGAGACAATTGACGCTTGCCTCAAGTCGTCTAGGCTGTGGCCCCAATTCCAGACGTTTTGTCTTACGGAAAACATGCGAGTGCGCACAGCTGATACTGCAGACACTGCTGAGGAAATGGCTGCGCTCTCCGAGTTCCTGCTGCAAGTCGGGGAGGGAAGGCATGATGTAAACCCTTCCCTAGGAAACGATTACATGAAGATCCCGCGCGATATGCTGATTGAGAATCCACCTGTGCCTGACGATGAGGACCAGGAAATTCGTCCGGTCGTTATTCCAAGAGGCATGGATCGGATCATCGACGAGATGTATGGCGAGATTAATAACCCCGAGGTTGCTACCGACGAGTATTTCGCTAACCGAACGATCCTCACGACCACGAACGCAATCGTGCACCGCATCAATGAAGCGGTGACCGATCGATTAACTGGACAGGCGCGGGAATACATGTCTTCCGACTCTGTACTAGACGACGGTGACGGCAATTTCTTCGAGCAGGAGGTACTCCACTCGATGAATATCAGTGGAATGCCTCCCCACAAATTGACCCTCAAGGTAGGAATGCCTATCATGATGATGC